ATCCCAATAACTTGTCCACGTTTGTATTTCAGTCAACGCCATCTGTTGTTACAAAGACAGAATTAGAGTTATGAAATAATATATATATATATACTAACCGCAATTTTCATGCCCTTCGCTTGAATTTTCCTTATTCTATCATTTTCACGCACGGCGTTTAACCTACGTTTTCTTGCAGGCTTTATGTGTTAGATCGATAAATCCTTGTCTATTTGAAACATTATCAGGCAGTCAGACGGACAAACTCACGTAGACGTAACTTTATTTAATAAAACTAAACGTACGTAGCTTTTTTTACTAAAACTACCCTTAAAGTAAACAATAAAATATAGTAATGGTATTTATAATAGTGTACAGAGTTATGAACGTTTAGTGTATGACACGGTTTTAGGAGTTGAAACAAAGAAGCTCACAGAAATGAAGAATAAAACCTGTACTAAAGAAAAAGTAGCTAAAATGTGTTTATAGCAGTTTATGATACGAACTGAAGCTAAATTATTGAAAAGTAAAGTAAATGTAAAGTTATAATGAAGGCAAACTTAGCTGAATATGCAGAAACGTCTGAATGGGTGTTCACAAAGATATACGCATATGGTTGTGAACGAATGGTACATGTGTATTTTAGACCTAAATAAGTCGAGAAAACCCATTGTATTTAGTGGAATGTTCATTTTTTTTAGGAAACTACACGCGGATTAAGTGATGTTTGTGTGAAATACCTTGAAAATAAAAAAACAAGTTGAAATTGAAGCCAGTCGTAATGTAATGACAACGACATTGTGCCATCATGTAGCATACTCATTGCATTAAAATGTTTACCAAGCAAACAACAGGTAAGGTGATTCTGAATAGTAAAGCCAATATGCAATTCGGAGTCCTCAGATAAAGGCCTTTTTAAAAATATAAGATTTATAGCGTTTGACCGAGAAATTTGCGAGAAAAGTTCCGGACAGACAAACGCAAGCGTATTATATATATATATATATAGGTCTGGTGATTAGAGCGCTCGACTCGCAAACTGTAGGTCGCAGTTTCGGATCCAGTCTCTAAACATGCTTGCTCTTTCAGCTCCTTTCGTTGGTAAAAGAGTAGCCCTAGAATTCCCTTTAGCCTATCACTTCTAAATTAGAGACGACTAACGCAGATAGTTCTTGAGTAGCATTGCGTGAAATTAAATTGGGCCCTGACAAAGGATATTTTATACATATTCCTTCAGACCAGTAACGTGCAGAGGGTATTAAAAGCGTAGAGGACTTTTCGAGCTTTTTTGCCTCTGGTAGATAACCAGAGATAGGATAGATAAACATGAGAAGCAAATAGATACTCTTGTATTCCTATTCAACAAGTCTGATAACACTTTTAAAATTTAAAACTAAACAATAAATCATTGCTAATTAACACTTGATAACATAAGCTGTTATCTTTTTTACTGTGTTCCATTCATTTTGTGGAATCAGGTGTGTCTTTTAGTAGTTGTGGACAATTTTTATGACTGAGAAAAGGGTTCCTTCAGGGCATAAGGGAAGGAAGGTAGGGGGCTTAAGTCCCCTCCCCGTGCACGTCACTGCTTCAGACTAAAGGGAAGGTTTTAGAGTACAATATAATCACAGGTGGCGTTCTTCATTGATAAGAATGGCTATTGAGAAAGCGAAGTAACCTGAAGATTATGGAAGGCCAGCACTATCTGTGTGGGTTACCAGTTCCTTAAATAGATTCAGATTCTAAGAACTCTGTACTAAATCGCACTTTGGAGCCGTAGGTGCGTGATGAGTGTAAAGGTCAAGTCTGCTATTCGATAAGACAAGAGTTGGCTATGGGTGCTGTTGACGATGACTAGTTACTTCCCCTTCTGTGTATCCCATGGAAACCACACTTCAATGAACTAATAACTAACATACGTACAAGTTCAAGTTACCTGCGCAAGATAAACCATAAGTCGAAAGTTGCTTAATCAAAAGCCTGAGTAATTTCAACAACTCCCAAGGTCACTTTAAACTTAACAACTTCCTGACCTCCTGTGTCCTTAAGGGAACTCCAAGATCAGGGGTCACGTAGGCGTTTATTGACAAGTATTTTCCTGCCAGAAGACAACGTGAGACTGAAGAGAACACAGGAATGTATTGAAACTAGTTTCTCTGATATCAGACTTCTGTTGTTTTTTTTATCACTAAGCCATAAAATACAACACTACAGTTCCGATACCATCACACTCATTGATAAAGTATCTATCAGACTGGTAATAGGATATGGAGAAATGGTCACGTGCAACACGTACGACAAGACACACCACATTACAAAACCGTGCCGTACGTTCAGCCTTCCACAATATACATGCACACAATATCTCAATAAATTACCGACAATTCAAACAAGAATCGCTAAACTAGCAACCTCATTTTACAGAAACAGTCTCGGTTCTCTGCCTTAGCAACCACCGTGTCTTCTTCGTCTTCTCCCTTAGCAACCACCGTGTCTTCTTCGTCTTCTCCCTTAGCAACCACCGTGTCTTCTTCGTCCTCTACGTTAGCAACCACTGTGTCTTCTTCGTCCAACAGATACTTTTCTCCGTACAAACAACGACCAGGTTTCCGTAAAACTGAGACAGCCCAGCTCTTACACATAATTTTAAAACTACTATTACAAGCCTGAAATTATGTAACTTTTAATTTCTTTACATCTATTGAGATTTTCTCACTATTTCCAAACTTGTATTTGAAATGATTTCAACTATTTGTTGTTGTTAGACACTCGTTTGCTATTAATTAAGCACAAAGGGCTATTTGTGGTCTACCCACAACGGGTATCGAAACCCGGTTTCTAGCAGTATATGTCCCGCCACTTGAGGGCAGTTGATAGACACGTTCATTAGATCCATTACAGTACTACTAATTAAAAATCCTGCGTAGAGCTAGGGTTTTCCATCACGTACAGACATACAGTGTGGTCTCCCACACTAATCGGTAGGTGTTTACGTGCACAGTTCCTCATTTCTTTGTGAATAATCTCTCAACTTCCGTGATGAAAAAAAAAAATGACAATCGCGCTTTGCATTCTGGAGCCGTGGGTCAAATCCCACTGTTCGGTTAGTGTTCCAACAGTTGCCAGTCTGTGGCGGTTTTTAGCTGGCTAGTCCCCTAGCGTAAATATTACGCTTATCAACAATGAAGAACTAGTTGTTTACACACACACAAGTATTGGCAACTTGCCAAATTGGTGTCGTCACAAAAAACGTAAAGTTCAAGAAATCTGATATTACTGACTTCATACGACAGCCGTGATCACCAAACAATAGTAATAACATGCAAAGGTTAGTGTGTGTTTTCCCCTTGTTATCTCACCATCACGTGCAGTTTCAAAGCTAATTCCTTATAAGATTTAAGTAATCCGGCTTTCCTGAAACCCCACTTGTTCAACAGAGATGAGGACTGACCGAACAAAATGCGTCTTGTTTCTGACGATCGTGCTCGTGGCTTTAGCAGCTTTGGTCGCAATCATTATCTACGTTAACGCAGTTCGAAAAAGTTACAAACTTCGAGTGGACTGTCTCCCAGACCCCGACCCTACGTACAAGAAATGCATGGACAGGGGGTGAGTAAAGGTCATAGATCTTATCAGAGAAATGTATATATATATGTGTGTGTGTGTATGCATGTACATATAAATTTATAGTTTATTGATAAAACCGATAAGAACATATTTCAAGTTTATCGTATCTTTACAGTCAATATCATCGTCATTGTCGGCCCGGCATGGCCAGGTGGATAAGGCGCTCGACTCACAATCTGAGGGTCGCGGGTTCGAATCCGCATACCACCAAACATGCTCGTCCTTTCAGCCGTGGGGG